TTTTTTTTTTAAATTCGATATGAAAGATTAGATGCAGGACGGCGACGACAGAAGCGAGGCGCTGTCGGAAGTATGTACAGTGGGGATTAGATGGTGAGACAGATAAATACAGTATCAAAAGTATGTACAAGGAAGGGACGGTCTTCGAACAATCACGGTGGGGTCCACATGGTGAGAGAAATAGCGGGTGGGTAGTGGGGCCCACGTGATGTAAATGGAAGATAAAATGTCAAATATACCCTTTACTACTGTAAAATCCTATTTTCTTGTTGGCCGTTGGATTATTTGATCTAATGACTACAATGTATTCTTATTTTTTTTTTTTTGAAAAACTATTCTCATTGAACGCATCTTCTCTACATATTCATGATAGAATTTTGGTATTATCAATATACTAAATGAATCATTTAAAAGACTATAATTAGAACCACACATAGCCTAATTTGCGCCGAGATTATGTAACAATACCTTTTTTTTTTCCTAATGAGGTCATATAATAGTGACATATTTGGTGAAATAAGAGTATCAATATGAGACAATACAACAAGAAATCCACATTTTTCAACAAGACCGGTACTTAATTTGCTTGAAGGCATGAGAACAGCAAGAACTTTCTTCTATAAAATTACTACACACTTTGAAACTAATATCATCCTGTATTTTTAGCGACACCACTTTTTAAATAGTAATCGTATATTATTTCGATCATCAATATTCGGTATAATCAGTCGATCGATAGGGTACGGTATTAAACACCATACGTTCAAGATCCATACCCAGACGACAGCCGGTCGCAATTCCCTCGGGCCCACGACAATCTCGTGATCTTTTTCCTTAAAAAAACACACGGGTTTGAAGAAACAACAGACAGTGATGATCTCCCTTTATTTTGACTTTATATCAGCTTGAATTTCCATGTGAGTTACAATTGCATCCATATCTAGTGAGCCCTTTGTTTTGATCTCAATTCTCACCCACTTATCATTCAATGCAATTTAGTATTATATTCAACTAACTTAATTTGTGTTCATCCCACATCGCACAAGATACACCAAATTAAGGACAGCACGACGTAGCCCATGAGATATGTCTTTTAGTACACACTACCTCAAAAATTTTGATCCCCTGCCCACGGTGGGCAGTGCCCACCACTTTTTTTTACATGAAAAACGTATTGTGACAATACGTTTTTCATGTAAAAAAAAATGGTGGACACTGCCCACCATAGGCAGGTGAACGGGACTACACTACTCAAATAGAACCTTAATTATTATTGCTGACACTTATAAGGAGCCACATTGCTTGGGAAACCCCTAATTCCCACTACTCCATCCACAGCAAATTTCGTCATGCATGACGTCAAACTCTAATTACATTAGGGAATAAATGATGTGTACAAGTCTATGAGACTAATTTTGATACGTTGTCATGTAAGCGGGAGTTAAATGGACCAGCAGTAATATCATTCAGACACATCGGCATGACTTGTCATTTTCGGGCTGAAAAGAGAGTTCCGACAATAATTGTCTCTATTTTGATTGAATTTAAAAGTTAGGGGACTGATTTTGGGAAACGTTATTTTAATGGAAAACAAAAAACGGAAAACCTGGCAGCTACGAAACTAGTTTTGGTATTTTCACTAAAAAAAAATACTACAATTCCAACGGCAAAAATTTCCGTTGAAAATTTCAATGAATATTCCAACAAACTTAATTTTATGTTGTAATAAGTGTTGGATAGTTGAGGAATTCCAACGGATTTTTTTCGTTGGAATAGCTGTAGGACTTTATTTCCATAAGATTTTTCGTTGGATATTTGCTATTCCAACGACCGTTGTTCCAACGGATTTTTGTACGTAGGAATATCCGTTTGAATAGATATTCCAACGGAAATATAGAAAATTCCAAAACGGAAAATTTTCGTTGGAATGTAAGAGTTTTTTTGTAGTGTTTTCTTGAGATAAAATATGTAAATGAAACAAGTGATCTTATCCCCCATTAGGTTCTAGGTAAATTTCATTTATTTTTCATATTATTTTTCTTTCATTAAATTTTCCATTTTTATTCTATTTATGAGTAGGATTGAAATTTGTTTTCAAATAAAATTGAGACGAACACAATGTTGTTCAAGAATGTAACCTGAATAACTATTTTTGAATGTGTTTGATTCTTATAAAAAATCAAGCTCAAAGCAACATTAATCGAGTCGAACACGAGTCGAGTTTGACCTGTGCTTTGTTGTATTGATTTACACATATGTTATGCTTTTTCACTCATCAAACTTGAAATATACCAAATACTAAATCACATTGAAGCTTCTTTGAAATGTGTGATGAACATAGTTCACATGAGGTAACAGGAACAATCAACACTCATCTTTCTTAGCTATAGATCAAGAAAAAGAAAGAACGATTACAATAGCTTTGCTGAGAACAGGGTTGCAGTGTTTAATGCTCATTGAAAGCTGCTTACACGGTTTCCTCCAAATATATACAAGGCTTGGTAAATCTTAGCCCTTCATTTCAAACTAAAGTATAGCTAGATAAGTGACACCTAGTACTAACAGATAGAATGTGTAACAAAAAAAATGTACTAGCTAAAGGTGTGAGCTCTCTCTCTTGTCCTTTCTGAAATGTGCTGCATGGCTCTATTTCCACGTGCATGATCAGCTGATGTGTGATTCTCCGTGGCAG